ACGTATGTGCGTACCATCAATGCAACCTAGGATACTCGGAAAACCACCAAGGGCGAAAAATCCATCTTGAACCTGACGTATGTAGCATTCTTGTGTTGGCCATTTTATGAATTCGTTCTTTCTTTTAACCAAGGCATCAGTCACATCTACTATGACACGTGAAACTGTACTTTTGTCCACCCCCATCGTATCACTTGAAGGAAACTACCACTTGCGTAAAAACGGAAAGCTATCATCAGTTGTTGATCGACGTTTAGAGCATGGCTACGTTGTGTAGGGCGCTCCAAATCTTCCCTCAGTATATTGGCGATGTAGTTGATAGATTCCCTCCCAAATCTGTACCTATCACGAAGTTCACTGTCTGTGTAGTTCATTAATGCAAAATTAACAGCTCGGAATCGCTTCTGTTGTCTCACATTAACCTCTGGAACCATGAAAGCGGCGCTAGGCCTACCCATGAACGCCATTTTGTTTCAAAGATAACCAAGGTGTTAAGTATTTAACGGAGGTCGGGAGGTGTGTTAACTTTAACAGGTGTTTAACCAGTCGTTAAAGATAACCATGCTTTGGGAAACAACATAACCATTTGGTTAAATTTAACGGAGAGTTAATACTGACTTAACGGCTGGTCAAGAGTTAACCGGGTTCTGAACAACCGGGCCCTGCAAGCTTATTATTACAGGTACCCTATTGTTTTAGGATAATGCTTTAGCAGAATTAGATGCTGCACCATTGCAAGAAAAAACACAAAGACTTGAGTTGGATGTAAGGCCACAGGTTTATATACAGAAAAGTACAAGGACTGGAGAACACTCCTGGGCTGGGAAACGCTAAACACGTCTGACAGTCAACCCGAAGGTGCCCGGACAGAACAGCAAACACGGCTCCGAGGGTACAAACCATACGGAGCCAAATGATGGGACCCCCCAGGGAAAAGCGCATAGGGGGTCTGCTGAAGACTCTACAACCACTATTATACAATAGAGCCTAGAGGGTATGCCTCAAAGACCCCCAAAACACCAAAATCACTTCTCTCAGCCCAGAAGTGTTACGAGATGATACAAACCAATTGTCGTGCGATGTAATGTGTAGAATGTGCTAGTCCAGGATCTTTACCTGTTGTGCACATACAAACCCCTGTGACTTGTTCGACGCATGTTTATGCCAGGACACCTCTTGCCTCACATATACTGAATTGTCCAAAACTTGCCACAACTACAATGTAAAGGAAAACAAGCAGCAGTACATGTTCCTGATACATACAAATACTTGCAATTAGATTAACTATCAACTGAGGAAATGTTATACAGATATGTACGTATGAAATGAGAAGTAATGGGCAGGATGGGAGGGAAAAACGTGTTACCGGTGTGGTTGTGTGGATGAAAAGAGGATGTAGCAACTAAATTCAGCTGCAACAAGGGTTACTTCCCTTTGTTTAGAGCATGTGAAGAACAATTCCTGAATAATACACTGATAAGGTGCCTTGCACTATTAAACCAGGAAGAGTTGCTTCCCTTGCAATATTAAACCAGGAATAGTAGCTTCCTTTTGACCGTGGAACACAAATGCATGGGGAGAACACCCCTTGAATTGGAATAATGTAAGATTACCAAAATAATGCATTTTATCATATAATGGGTAGGTTTCTCGGCAGGATAAAGCCAACGGATAAAAACGATATCCGTTGGGGTCATATGCGGATAGAGATGCAAATATCAAAGGTCAAGTAGGACTACTTTCACTGTTTATAAACAAACATGGCGTCGCCCTCATCATTCGGCGATCGAGTCAGAATTAACCATCGGGAATCTGGATAAACTACAGGGATAATTGCTATCATTATCAAAAGAACAGTCTAATATACTGAAAATCAGTCTCTAACTGTGACGTAGCTAAGGCATTTTATGAGTTTGGGCAACTTTAGAGATATAAATTTCGAAACAATTTTGCGAGGGCCCGAGGCCTAGCCAAGCGGGATCAGTAGCCATATCTGTGCTTGTAGACCTCTGCGGCTTGAAACCTTCTCCACAAATTACAATAGTTGGATTTGTCCGAAATGTGTTTGAATTGTTACCTTGTTTCGTTTTGTCGCTGTGTGTACATCTGACTACACTTCTTAACGTTATGACAGGACAGACCGACTGTCAACAACGACTGACCGTGGCCGTGACGTCTCACAGACTAGGGTAAGAGTAGCTTCCCTTTGACAAAGGGCAGTTACTCTAGCGGACAGACAGATGGATTGCCGCGAAAGGCAATTAAAAACAATTGTTGTTTTGCGTATATGTTGCTTCGCCACTGTATAAGAAACAGATTTTAGTTGGAACTATATTGGCTAGTGTCACTGTCCGACTGACACATCACTTACCCTGTGACGTAATAAATATTAATGCGCGCATTCCAGAAAAACTCGCAATGTTTCGGTTATGTATGTGAGAGAGGGAAAGCGATTTTGAAGCACAGAATTAAAGAATGACATTATATGATAAAGAGGTTATCACGCTTGTGTGTTAGGGGATGGTAAATATCCTGTATTAGGAATAAACACTATGTATTTAGCTCGCCAAGGCTCGCTAAATACAATGTTTATTCCTAATGCAGGATATTTACCATCCCCAAACACACTCGCGTGATAACCTCTATTTATTAAGTAATAATAAAATTAAATATTATTAAATTTGTTACACTGCTGTCAAACACAAAAAGAAGTATCTTACAAAATGTTTCCATGTACATATATTATGCCTCTTTATACCGACAGAACCTGATGAAAGAATAATCTTAGCTGCTTGGTATTAGGAAACTATTGTGTATATACATTAAGTACATATTTATAGATATTTGCCATCTGAATAAACTACAAACAAAAGAGTTAGAAATGGTATTAAACTATTAGGCTGTCATGTGATATTGTGGTATTACAAATGGTTTAGTATAGTTATATGTATATGAAATGATATGATGTGACATGACATGATGTGATGTGATATGATATGATAAGTGTTGTGGTGTGATATGATACATGAGGAGATATGATGCAATATGTTATGTGTACTATAGAAATTGTGTAAATACTGTGTTTTTTTAGTGTACATATTATATGGTTTGCGGTCTTCCAGTGTTGAATAAATATTGATTGATATGATATAAATTGGCATGGAATGACATGACATTATATGGTATGATATGATCAGATATGATGGGACAAGCTATGACATTGCTAATGTGTTGTGTGATATGACATGTTGAAATATGAAATAATATAGGTGTGATATATGGTACGATGGTATGTATGGTATGTTATGATAATGGTATATGAAATAATACTATAATAATGATACAATATGATGTGATGTTATAGAATATGTTGTATAATATATTAAGTTGTGATATGGTAAAATAGAAATTATGAAATTACAGGGTATGGTATTGTACTGTATGTGTGAAAATATGTGACTGTGTTGAGATGCAATGTGGAATGACGTGAGGTGATTTGGTGAGATATGTACATAAATTGTATAAAATTGTATATTCTTCAAATTGTACTAGATGCCTGTGGCCTCTTCAGTACGTGAAATAAAGATTGAAGATTGACATGTATCAACCAAGTCAGCGAGTCTGACCACCCGATCCTGTTAGTCGTCTCTTACGACAAGCATGGTCGCCTTCAGGAGTACACCTTCCCGGGGCAAGGGAGTTAACTGACTGAAAAGTCCAGTTTCCATCCTTGCCGAACTAGGCTGGTATATTTTGGCAGGACTAACGAGTCTATACATAGTCCAATCAAATACGCTTTACGAAATCGGGATCGAAAATCGAAATCAATCAATTGGGATCGATGAGATGCATCATCCAAGTCAGCGAGCCTGACCACCCGATCCCGTTAGTCGCCTTTAACAAGCATAGTCATCTTTTACGGCAAGAATTGGTTGCTGAAGACAATTAACTTGCCTTTAAATGTGTTTGTGACGAGGGCCAAAGCCTAACCCGGATGTTCACCATTGGATAGTGGCATTTTAACTGCTCCCATGTTGCCCAGTTGCCCTTGTACATGTGTCACTGTTCATTTAAACGTCTGTGCTGTGAAGGAGTGTTTAAGTTAAGGCAACACTCTCTTGAACACATATCTCTTGCATATGCAACGTATTATTGTTTTTGTTCAGTCGTATCTGTATTGTTTCTCTTGGACATGAGTTGTGTGGACAAAGGGACAATTCCTTGATTCGAACCGATGAGTGAGCCTGGACACATTTGATGTGTCATATCAAAACGTGTCAGCTTAAGATTGGAGGAAAGAGATGTTCACAACATCTAACAAGGCTCATAATTTGGGATTCCAACTCATAACTCACAATCCTTGAACAACTAAGGGCCGCAACTCTACAAAGCAAGTTCCAGACCACAGGCTCTCCCCTAACACCTTTTGTGTTTGGCTTTGTTTTTTGTTTTAAAAAGCAGCCCCTTGTGTGAGTATGCACTTGAGATGGAACACTTGTAGATTTAACAATCGCAATACCATTTATGTAAGGTTTGAAGGAACGACAGAAATACTTAAAGTCGATGGTGAATATTTTATTCAGTTATAATCAGATTTGCAATACCAGTACAGGCAGTCTTCTAATTTCACATTGTTATATAAGCCAATATCATAAACTTTAAACAAAATAATTATGTTTTGAATTTCATAATACTGAACTAATCCTAAAACGTCCAATATATATGCTCGTTATTTTACAAGGATACAAACTACATGCAAATTTAAATATACAGTAAAGTACGGTTGTAACGAACTCAAAGGGACTACTAATTTTAGTTCGTTATAACCGTAGTTCGTTATAAGCATAGATACAGCATAACTACAGCAACTAGTCAGGACCAAAAAGTAAGTTCGTTATATCCGTAAGTTCGTTAGAGGCGTGTTCGTTATAACCGTAGTTTACTGTATAATAATCACTTGCAGGTGTGAAATAGTGTGTTTCAGTCTCGTTCTATTTTTATATTTTTGTTATTGAATGGACCACACCTAGAGCATAATATCATGCTCATCATATTTAAGATATTCCACCTTCGACGTGATGTCGATGTGTGTGATGTGACTTTGTCATCACCAACATTACTTGTCACACGAGGTTACCCATGTGCATTTAAGGTACCACCCATTTGACTGACTATACGTCACGGTACATTTGAGACGCCGAGTGCAAGCTCTCTTCCTTCTTCCTGCAAACGAAATTCATGAATGAATAACACTGAAATCGGAGGTATTGAAATCTTATTTTGAGATTAACCATTTCCATCTGTTTTAGCACGCATATTTTACTAGTTGTGTTTGCCAATAATGTTTCCCTGAACAGGTTCTTGTAGCAGACCCTTGAGGATTCGGGTTAGAATACGTCTTCAGCAACCCATGCTTGCCGTAAAAGGCAACTATGCTTATCGTAAAAGGCGACTAACGGGATCGGGTGGTCAGGCTCGCTGACTTGGTTGATGCATGTCATCGATCCCAATTGCGTGGATCGATACTCATGACGAATATTTACAGACCGCTGTCATATAGTTGGAAAATTGCTGAGTGCGGCGTAAAACAACCAACCAACCAACCTTGTAGCAGAAGTATATCAAAGTGGGTTTCAATTGTTCAAGAATACTGTGCCTTTAAGTGCCAAAGTGTATGCAAGGCTTACATTTAATATTCAAGAAATAAGAAAACAATGTGTGGAGCTCCTGACTGCTATTTCCATGTGCCCTGCCCTTCCCCCCCCCCCCCCCCCCCCCCCCCCCCCCACACACACACACACACAAACACACACGGCGACCCCTTCCTGGGGACCCGCATTAGATGTACATAAGTAATTATAAGTGTGTAATCCACGTACCTTAAAACATGATATTTTATTAACTTAAAACGTTCATAAAATCGCCAGTTTAGATGTTTAAAGCCAAATTATTAATGTAGAATCGACGATTCATCATTGTTAAAAATCAGGTTTCAGTTTTCTCCAATACATATTTACACAGGTACAATCAGTATATTCATGAATGTCCATAGAGATATACATAAGTATAAGTGTGTAATCCACGTACCTGTGCTGGGGTCTTCAGTTGCCTCCTCCAAGGCATAGATGGTCCGACCCTGGCACTCAGGAACTAGAGCTTGGATGGCGGCAGCTTCATCAGCATCAACTTCCTCAGCAAACTCAGTCAAAGATATCTCAGCATAATCAATCTAATATTAAAAAGATAATTTAACATCATTTAATATTATATATTTCTTATTAAATGTTTGCCGTAAAAGGCGACTAGGCTTGTCGTAAGAGGTTGGATGGTTTGTTTGTTGTTTAACGCCGCACTCAGCAATATTCCAGCTTTATGACGGCGGTCTGTATATAATCGAGTCTGGACCAGACAATCCAGTGATTGACATCATGAGTTTCGATCCACGCAATTGAGATCGATTACATGCATCAACCAAGCCAGCGAGCCTGACCACCCGATCCCGTTAGTCGACTCTTACGACAAGTGACTGGTTATATTAATGGAAACAGGATGTCATTGAGTATTTAACTTACCTCTTTCGGCATCGGGGTCAGGGGTTGCACGTAGCAGGAGGTGGTGTCTTCTCCTACCTGGGTCACAGTCATCGTCTAAGAGTATTAAAGGTTATATTAGATAAGGAAACCGGTGCCTTATTCAGCAGGGAAAGGATATGAGTTTTGCAAAATCAGTAAATGTTGGTTTGTTCGTTTGTTTGTTTGGCCGCACAAAGTAATATTCCACTAATATGACGGCGGTCTGTAAATAATCGAGTCTGGTCCAGGCAATCAAGTGATTGACATCATGACCATCGATCTACGCAATTGGGATACGATGTAAATCCAGTGGTATGTTTGTGTGTTTGTGTCTGTGTGTCTGTGTGTGTTTGCGCCAAGTATGGGCCTTACCGACCAGCTGGTAACAAAGCGGATTTTTTATGGTTATTATTATTAATTATAATTATTATTTTAATCAAAGCTATGAGCCTAAATATGATTTGGGTAAATTCACAATGAAACGATGCAATTTCTTTTAGAATAGAATTATTTTTTCAAGCATCTTCTGGAACAATTTATTTTTTCCGTTAAAATTCCAGGCCTAAATCACCCTCCCGTCGCCCACCACAGATTATCAATAGTCGGCCCCGGACATGGATAAAAATGTTAAAACTGCATTCATTGTTTTGCATTCATCTGACATGTAGTATGGGAAGCGTACCCCCTAATTTCCAAAAACTTGTGTCAATTGCAACAGAAACATAATATTATAAAGATAAACAGAATTGATGAAGATTTTTGTCTGTTTCTGTAAGTTACTGCTACACTTGTCTCTGTTATTTGACAAGCTGTACAGAATATACCTTGTTTGTGAAAAACTGTGTCTCAATGAGTGTTCCGTTGGTGTATCTGATGGTTGTGGTTCCACCGCATGTCGTCGCTTCTATTGTCTCTTCAAGTTGTACCACAGTGCACTCCTAAAAGGCAGAAAACATTCACCTGAAGCATCACGTTGACAAGCATGTCAATGATGGACAGTATAATTACTAGACTATCACAAATCCGGTTTAAATCTAGTTGCGAAATATTTAAAGAATAATTTTTTTGTCAACACGATAAAAATATCAATGCAGTCTACAGATATGAACGAGAGCATAAGTCGTCGAAATATGAATCTCACAACAAAACATAATAAATTATACTTACGTTTTGCCCACCGGGGTCACACATACATGCACGGAAGAAAATTGCAACAAAAACAGACAGCATCAGAATCTGCAAAAAAAAGGGAAACGAGAAAAAAATTGAAAAATGGTAACATCATTGGTCTCTTGTATTACAGGACTGCTGACGAAGGCATAATCCGCGATCCATGTCTCTGTCCTGCTACTCTCTTGACTACAACGGGAGCCACGGGTGGCCCAGTCGTCTAAGGCGCCGCGATTCGCTATGCAGAGTTGCGTCCCTTTGGCGCGCCAGAAACCTATGATTGGGGGTTCGAATCCCGGTTGGCCCCGATTATGTGTCTAGGTTTGTCAGCACCATACCCGTGTTCGTGGGTTTCAGCGAAGTGGTAAATGTCTGAGACCTGCATCACTTCGGGCTTTCCTCCCACATTAAGCTGACACGCCGCGATATAACTGGAATACTGTTAAAAGCGGCGTTAAACCCGCTAGCGCATTTACTTATGTGGCTGGAACTGAAAACAATGCTTACTTTGCATTGAGTCTGATACGCAAAAGTACAGAGGTTTTGCAACTTATAAGAAAGGCAAACGTTTAAAGAATATGTTCAAAACCACGCATCGGTACTTTTAATTTGACATGTCCATATTTCTTTTGTACTAGAATTCAAAGCTCCATAAAAATCTGTACAAACAGAAAAATTGCTGGCTCCAGCAATGTACCACAAAATCCCTGTCCCAAACGTTAACCATCCTCAACGCAATTTTGGAGGAGTGAGTGAGTTGGGTTTAACGCCGCTTTAACAGTATTACAGTTATATCACGGCGTGTCAGCTTAATGTGGGACGAAAGCCTGGAGTGATGCAGGTCTCAGACGTTGATCACTTCGGTGAAACCCACGAACACGGGTATGGTGCTGACAAACCTAGAAACATAATCGAATCGGGATTCAAACCCACAATCATAGGTTGCTGGCGTGCCCTAGGGACGCAACTCTGCAATGCGAATCGCGGCGCCTTACACGCCAGGGCCACCCGTGCCCCCCAATCATGGAGGAACTTCTCTGGGGCTGGTGTTTGTTCATACATACATACATACATACATACACACACACACACACACACACACACACACACACACACACACACACACACACACACACACACACACACACACACACACACACACACACACATACATACATACATACATAGTAAAAATATTTCGGTTTAATCTACATGTTTTGAGAACATGCCTGAACGTGAAAATGATTTCATGAAGCCTACCTTGGTCATTATGGCGTTAGACTCTGGAGGATCTCTTCTTAGCCTGTTGTCGTTGAATCAGCTTGCTAACCCGCGTTTATGTCCACCTGAGCTCTGATGTCGTTTATATACTCAACGATCAAAACATACCTACACACCCTTTTCTGAAATCACCAATCATATGCTTAGTGGTTAACTAAATTTATGATATTTTTCCAAGCAACAAACCTGATTGGACCACCTCAAACAAGCTTACGTAAACACCTTTTCAGAAACAGCCTGCTTATCACCTGCGCATGTATACTGATTTATTTCTCACCAAAATATCGTGAGCAGCCTTCTAACAATTGGGATCACAAATATAAAATCATTATGGATGCTGTCGAAGCATATACCAACAAATGGACCAAAAGAGAAGATTGGTTGGTTGGTTGGTTGTTTCACGACGCATTCAGCAATATTCCAGCTATATGACGGCGGTCTGTAAATAATCGAGTCTGGACTAGACAATCCAGTGATTGATATCATGAGCATCGATCCACGCAATTGGGATCGATGACATGCATCAACCAAGTCAGCGAGCCTGAGCACCCGATCCCGTTAGTCGCTTCCTACGACAAGCATATAGTCGCCTTTTACGGCAAGCATGGGTTGCTGAAGACCTACTCTACCCCGGATCTTCACGGGTCCCAAAAGAGAAGAACAACCCGTTGAATGTTGAATTGCACTCAGCAATATTCCAGCTATGTGGCGGCGGTCTGTAAATAATCGAGTCTGGACCAGACAATCCAGTGATTGACATCATGTGCATCGATCCACACAATTAGGACCAATGACATGCATCAACCAAGTCAGCGAGCCTGACCACCCGATCCCGTTAGTCGCCTTTTACAGCAAGGATGGGTTGCTGAAGACCTATTCTACCCCGGATATCATTTCTAAAACCACATTGAATCATAATTTGTAATCAGATCATTTGTTTTAAATTACCATATTAATCTGTTAATGACCATTCTGTCCAAGGTCTTACAAACACAACCAGAAAGTGATATTGGCTTTTATTTAGTTTGATCCCATCCAAGTTAAGGTATCTCCGCAAACTTGTGAGAAATGAAATTAAATATCATCTGAGAAAACGATATTTGAAATGCTTGACTTCTTCAAAGATTACACATTTTTGAAATTTGGGCATTGGACATTTAGGCCAGATAGAGGTAGACATCCCCATGGACATTAATTATGTTTCCCTTCTTCTAGTGGCTTAAGAGTGAGACTTTCTGCTCGGATTGGCAAAATAAAAACAAGAGTCATCCGAAGATGACATATCCCCCCCCCCCCCCCCGACGTGGCATGTCGGTAAACTGTGTGTACCTTAAAATGTATTTAGATTGGCAAGAAAATATTTTTCCTTGATGCCAAAACCAGAAATATAATGAAGGTTATTAAATATTGGTTCATGTAGCTCACTTTCTGATGATCTCATGAAATTTAATAACAATAACTTCGCAGATTCGCATATGAATAGCTCTCATGACACAAAGGCATTAAGAGAATGTAAAAGGTTTTCTTTTTTCAATTTAAATTGAAAATTAATGAACCTAGAATAATGTCCTCATCTGGAGCATATCTTCTAAACCATGTTAATAGCAAAGGCACCACTACATAACCTGCTTGATAGGTGTAAGAACTTTTGAGAAGCTAAGTTGTATGGTTCGGGAGATATGTTCCGGACAAGAGCACTACCCTCAAAATTCCTGAGTTCATCATATTTCCATGGAAACGACAAAAATATAAAATTCTAAAAATCTCTAAATAGCAAAAGGCACTTCTACTGAGCCTGATTGTTATGTGAACCAAGTTTTGCGAAGCTAGGTTGTACGGTTTAGAAAATATGCTCTGGACAAGTGCAGTACCCTCAAATTTCCTAAGTGTATAACATTTCCATGGAAACGACAAAAATAAAAAATTCTAAAAATCTCTAAATAGCAAAAGGCACGACTACTGAGCCTGATTGGTAAATGTACCAAGTTTTGTGAAGCTAGGTAGTACGATTTAGGAAATATGTTCCGGAAAAACAATGATTACAGACGGACAGACAGAGAGACGGACGGACGGACAGACGGACATACTGATGGCTATATCCCCCCGTTATTATATGTTATTATAAATCTAATTTAAGCTACACTGTTGATCTGATATCGTTCAACAATGGTCAAATATACCATTAGAAATAGAAAGAGACCCATGCAACCGCCTAACCTGTTTCATATTTAGATATGTGAAAAATCAAACAGGTGAGGTGAGGTGAAATGGGGTTTAAGGTCGCGTCCAAAATTATTGCACTTATATAGCGACGTGCATGCACGTGTGTGTGGCTGCTTGTACTAGACCGGACTGATGCCGATTATAGTGCTAGCTCACTGAGAAACCATGCCGCAGTTTAACATGAATACCCCATTAAGACACAGTATACTGACTCCGAGCCGACCAGTCCTTGTTTTAGCCCCTTAATGCCGAGCGTCAGACAGGGTAACAACAAATACCATCTTTTAACGTCCTTAGGTATGACGCGGCCGGGGATCGAACTCCCGCTCTGCGGGCGGACGCTCTACCTCTATACCACGGAGGCGGTCGAAAAATCAAACCGACAAGCGGGACGAGGTCAACTTTCCAAAAACAACTTTTACGTCGAGCAATCAAACGTTTGAGTATGCTCTTTCTTTGAAGGTTTCAAGCAGCGTCACGCTCAAACGTTGTTTTGGCAGGGTTACACATTTCAAGTCCCTGATAAAGCTTTCAAAATGTTTCATTGTAGACGTGGACATACCACAACTGTTACCGTGTTTGTTCAGGTTAACAGTTAACTTGCCTTTGAATGTGTTTGTGACGAGGGCAGGGGGGACAGCTTCCAACAGCTGGTGTCATCACTATTTGATAGTGATTCAAACAATGGGACTTTTTTGCAATCTTTTACCTATTTTACTTTTTTTTTCTGAATATGTTCTTAAAGAATGTATACGTGGATATCGCACAACAGAAGGACATGCAACACGCACATGCTGATCGGGGGAGGGGTGGGTGGGGTGGGTGTTTCTATTAATGCTCTGTATATTCAACATTGTATTACGGTGTCTCAAAATATGCACACTGAAATCAATGATGTTTTCCGTTTGTGAATTCGAGTTTTTGAGAAATGTTTAGCATCACGTGTCATGAAATATGGTGGTCAGTCGTTGTTATGGGCTGCTGAAGACCTATTCTACCCCGGATCTTCACAGGTCTGGCTGCAAAAGGGAAAGGTGAGAGAGAAAGTTTAATAGTAATAAACAAATCGTAGGTACATGTTTGTGTCTGAATCTCAAATAACACGGTATCTTACAATTGAAACAGAAGGGTTGTTTTTCGGATTTGTACTCTTCATAGTCGGCAATATATGGTATTAAAATAGTTGATATGCAAGCTGCTTCTTCTATCATGTGCTCTAAATTGAACAAAGAGATCAATTATGAGACATTTTAATTCCTTCTCCCGTGAAAGACCATTAAGATAATTTCACACAAGTTACACCTAGTAAATAATCAAGAACAGAATTATAGTTAATCTGGGCATGTGAATTGTTGTCAAACCACTGTTTTTCCCAACCATACAATTATGATTTATGATATCGACGGCGCGCACAGCTGACGTATTGAATGCAGTTAAAACACAGGAACACTGTGTGTTGCAGCAACTGTAATTTATGACATTGAAACCTTATGTCCATCTATCGTGTTGATTTAATCCTTATTACCTCCGTCTATCGGTGGAAACGGCAATTAATATGTAATATTCAATATATTAATTTCAAATATCAAAATAATATCTCAATTTCAAATCCATGGAAATGAACAAATAAGTTTCGGAAATTCCTAATAATCTCGCCACATTTTTAAAAAGATCTGAATTATGTTGTTTACATGTACCTCCGGCTATAACTTTATACTGAAATATGGAATATTAAATTTCCTATCTGATGGTGTAAATGTTACTGCAAATATACTCTGCAAAAACACCCGCAAAAGTAGTAAAATCGTAAATATCTGACATAGTGTTGCTGACATACACACAAAATAAATACCAAAAATGTTTGGGTCATTTTTGCATGACTTGGCATTGATTTAAGTGGAATTAATGGGTTATAGCAGAAATTAGGTGGGAAGATGGCAGAATCGCAAAAACACGACCACGTGAAAGCCGAAACACACCAACATGAAAAGCACGTGCAATATCACTTGTTGGGCTATAAAAACGTTGGGTTTTCATTTGCATGCCTTTACAATATGACAGCAAGTGAACGGCGAAAACATGCCACGAATGACAGAAGCCAAACGCATCAACGACTGCAAACAGGAGAATGATGCTTGGCCGTTGTCAGGTTTTTCCACACAGCACCAAACGGCATTACAAGACCATTGTGGAACCGTTATCAGACACACAGGACAACATATGACCTTTCCAGATCCGGTCGACCAAGTATCACTTCAAGAGCATAGTACAAATTCATACGGCTACGTCACTTACGTGACCCGTGAAGATTCCGGGGTAGAATAGGTCTTCAGCAACCCATGCTTGCCCTAAAAGGTGACTATGCTTGTCGTAAAAGGCGACTAACGGGATCAGGTGGTCAGGCTCGCTGACTTGGTTGATGCATGTCATTGGTCCCAATTGCGTGGATCGATGCACATGATGTCAATCACTGGATTATCTGGTCCAGACTCGATTATTTACAGACCGCCGTCATAAAGCTGGAATATTGCTGAGTGCGGCGTAAAACAACAAACAAACAAACAATTGCGTGGATCGATGCTCATGATATCAATCACTGGATTGTCTGGTCCAGATTCAATTTTTGTAGACCGCCGTCATACAGCTGGAATAGTGCTGAGTTCGGCAAACCAACCAACCAACGTCAGTTACGTGAAAGAACCACCACGCCTTTACAATTGCAACTACGGCAATACCAGGATTGTGTAGGATATCAGCGCAGACAGCGCGGAACCGTTTACGCGCTGAAGGTATTCTTGCTAGACGACCAGTTCTTAATATCATTTTGATGA